AATCTGTGAGAGATGTGCAACTTGTAAACAGGCTAAGTCTAAGGTTAAGCCCCACGGTTTGTACTCTCCATTACCTATTCCTTCTCACCCCTGGGTTGATATCTCTATGGATTTCGTACTTGGCTTGCCTAGGACTAGAACAGGAAAGGATTCTATACTCGTTGTTGTGGATAGATTCTCAAAGATGGCTCATTTCATTGCATGCAATAAAACCGATGATGCATCTAATGTAGCCAATCTATTCTTTAAAGAAGTAGTTCGTTTGCATGGCATGCCTAGGACCATTGTTTCTGATCGTGATACTAAGTTTCTTAGTTATTTTTGGAAAACATTATGGTCTAAGCTAGGAACTAAGCTTCTGTTCTCTACTACATGTCATCCGCAAACTGATGGACAAACTGAAGTAGTAAATAGAACTCTGTCTACTTTACTACGTGCATTAGTTAAGAAAAATCTTAAGTCATGGGAAGAATGTTTACCTCAGGTTGAATTCGCTTATAATCACTCGATGCACACTGCTTCTAAATTTTCACCATTTGAAATTGTCTATGGCTTTAATCCTATAACTCCTTTGGATCTAACCCCCATTCCTTTGAGTGAAAGAGCTAGTATTGATGGGCAAAAGAAGGCCGAGCTAGTGAAGCAGATCCATGAGAAAGCCAAGAAAAATATAGAGGAAAAGACTAAGCTCTATGCGGAACAAGCTAACAAGAAACGACGAGAGATGATCTTTGAAGTTGGCGACCAAGTTTGGATTCACCTAAGGAAAGAAAGGTTCGCAGCTGAAAGGAAATCAAAACTTATGCCGAGGGTTAATGGACCGTTCAAGATCATCAAGAGGATTCATAACAATGCTTATCAACTAGATCTCCGAGGTAAGTACAATATTAGTCCTAGCTTTAATGTTGCTGACTTAGCTCCCTTTTGTGCAGATGATCCAGATTTGAGGTCAAATCTTTTTCAAGAAGAGGGGGATGATGTGATTCTGGAAAGCAACAACAAAGACTTGGAGTTGGAATTAGAAGATGGAGAGCAAGTAGCTGAGGAACAAGAGCTTGTAGCTGATCAAGAAGATCTTTTAAGCGTTCCAAGTGGTCCAATGACTCGATCAAGGACTAAGAAGCTCAAGCAAATCATTGGAGCTATCATCAAAGGCTTTGACTCGATTCAGGAGGGAAAAGAGCCGATCACAAGCACCCTGATTGTGATCCAAGTCCAAGATGGCTAAGTGGGCTTGAGATCTAGGCTTGTACTCTTTTTCTATAACTTTATGTCCGACGCTTTTACAAGTGAACGTTACTTCCACAGTTCCACTCCAATTTAATCAACTAACTACGACTACATTATACTATTATACATATGAATCAAATAAATTCAACGTGAGGACATATCAAAATCACAACAGAATCTCTTTATCTTTCTTCCAGTTATGACCTTGCTCATATGTTCTCTCTTTTTTCCATTTTCGTATTTTCTGCCCTACAATCTGTTCTTGCTCTGTTTTGATTCTGTTTTGAAACACTGACAAAGACGATGAAGCTTGAAGAGGAAGAAAGTGACATTTTGTTCCCGACAAATGAGGAATGCCAAGTCGATCTCCCCTACGGAGATGACGACAATATCTCCACTCCATCTTCTCCATTTCGTTCCGCTACATTGCCTCGAAGTAATCGGTAAAATCAAACCCACTGTTTTTTTTTTATATATCTAAAGATATTTGAAGGGTTTGCATGATTAAGATTCTCCCTTTTCATGGTATATTCAGACAATCTGTGGACATCTCAACCGGATCTACACCTCTTCTTTCACAAGTTCTTAGACATCATTCACCAGCTCGATCTCTTCCTTGTACAAGAGACGCCAAAACTCTATTCTCGAGTCGTTGCTTCTTCCACAAGCAAACAACAGCTGCTCACCGAGAAAGGCGATGTATCTCTCAAATCTGGAATTTCTTCTCAGCTCATTTTATCAATCACCGAAGAACAGCATCTCCGCTCGAGAATCTTCTGCACACTTATTGCTCTCTCTCGTTTTAAGGTGGATCTATTTTGGTCCACGGATCAATATCTTATGTCGAAGATGGGTCTACTCACAGTGCCGTACGCGGCAAAAGGAGGACGATGGCTCGGGATTTTTATACTCTTCTTTTTCGGTCAGTTATTTGAAAACCATTTATATATATATATATCTATATTTGTGTTCGCTGTATAGCTATACATCGAGCCAAGAAAAATAAGGAACATGATTTATCAAAAATACACTTACACTTCATAAAGTAAAGCTTTTTGCTTTAGATTATCAAACTTCTGATTCCAAATACCGATTCAAAATTTGAGCTTAATATACATTAAACCCCAACCTGGCTATGGCTAATATTACATCATCTTTCTTTGCTTCTCATTCTTGTTTTATCTCTCTTTTCGTCGTCACGTGCGAAATCACAAAGGAATAATATGTTGAGACACTATAACCACCTGGTGAATCCACAAAAAAAAAAAACAATGAATAGAATCATACCAACTTGTTACGGAAACTTTGTGCACTACTGAGCTTTGCGGGAGCAGAATAATGAGACTTCTTTTGACATCACACTTCTATCAACCATCTTGCTTTCCTCCTTACAAAATCTCATGCCATCTCCCATATCCCAAAAACAAGTGGTCAGATACTCAGTCTCGCAGCGTCATAAAAGATGTTATCAATGATCTTATCCACAAAGTTCTGACCACTTGGATTCGGTATATGGAAGATGTCATGAGATTTGTTGATTGGCTTTATGGTTACTCTATCTGTATACTCTGACCACTTGGAATCCGGATTTGGAAGATGCAGAGTTTTGCCATTAAGATTCTGAGCCAGACATGCGAAGATGCTTCAAGGTACAAATTGGAGAGAAGCTTTGCTGATGCTAACGATTAGGGATATTATTGTAGGATTAAACGCAAGCATCTGGAGGAATGAGCCATTTTGAATGAGCCATTTTGAACGCAAGCATCTGGAAGAGTTGTTTGTTCAATACAATCTTCATCTTCAATGCTGCAAAGCCAAACTAAGTGAAGAGTTGGCGTTTGTTCATAACAATCTTCATCTACGAAGCTGCAAATCCAAACTAAGTAAATAGCAGTAAAGAGACTGTGCTGCAAGATGTTTATATGGACTGACCCGTTCAGCAGTTTTTGTGGATGTGTAGATTTTACTTTTTGTAATTTGTAAATTCATCAAAGCTTAACTTTTGAAACAATGCTGGTTAATATATATGCTTTATTGTAATTGGTCTCGCTCACGCCAAAAAATTATCAGCTTCTTTTTTTTATTAAAGTTGAGATGAGACATGAGAGGCTAACGTTCTGCACCGGTCGGCTGTGAAGAGCTTTTGTCAGCGCCATTTTTTGAGTTTCGGTTTGTCTAATTCGTACCTTTAATTTCCAAAAAACTATTTACAGATATCATCTTCCAATGATATGAAGCTAGGTTCAAGCTCATGTCCAAAGGATCATTACCTTCTTTAATTGGCGATCACCAAATATCATTACTTTCTTAACCATTTAGTTTGGCTCACATGGATATGATAATTAATATGAAATCTTCTAAACAATTTGGCCATTACTACCAAATCCGTTATCCATTTTCCTTGTGAAGTTGAGCACCATAGGCTTTGAATCTTTAGAATCCCCTTTTAGCACAATCTCTAGGAAGTACGATTTGATACACCTCTTCCTTGGCATCGACCACCATATCCATAGTCGCCGCCGCCGCCACCACCACGACGTCTACAATAACCGCCACGTGATTGACCGTTACCGCAGAAAGCTTCTCTTGTTTCCCCAAACTCTAGCAGATTAGTCACGCCTATTCATCTCAATAAGTTCGTCTATTCAAACTTCTTTACGTCCATTTAGTTATGCTTACATGGACATCCTTCGGAATCTTATTGACCGATTGCCAATTTCAACAAAGCTATTTACAATGGGCGTGAAATCTTGCAATCTGCGAGAGTGAAAGAGGAGATCAGGGCAATAATTAAGGAAATATGATGGAACAACATCGAGTTAGAAGAATTTCTCTCCAGATTCATACAAACATACATATATCTCAATTTCTCTGCAGATTCATCAATTACACTGCAGATTTTAGAGATTTAAACTCAACTGATCCAAATATCTACAGATTCAAAAGAAGAAAAAGAGAGATTGAAGAATTCAGATGACAACACCAGAAACCCAGAAAAAAAAGAGATTCAAGAATTTTGGAAACTCAGGATTCTAGGGAACTTAAACAACATTCTCGTCATTGACGAAGGATTTGTTTTTTATTTGATAAATTACCGGTGGTTTTTTTACTAGCCGGGAATATGGTCGCCAGAAATATTCAAGAAACTTCGAAACAGTAAGAGTTCAGTAATAAGAAAAGAGGCAAAAAGAATATTATTGTCATTTGTATCAGCTACATAGTAGAAAAGTGTGTTATGTGGTAATTAAAATACAAAAATTCTTTTTTTTTGAACATTAAATAACTTAAAAGTCCATCTAATAGTAACACACTTCTGATTTCAGTTTAAGAATAGAAAAATAATCAGATTAATTATATAGAAGGTTTTTCTCTCAGACACATTTCTCTAGAAGGTTTCAAGCTACCTGGTTTTAACAGACAACGACGTTTTGCTGCCTGGTTTTGCCAAAAATAGAAAGTTTTTCAAACAACCAAAACCACATTTGGTCTTGCTTTGCCGGGTTCCGCCCCCGACCTCCGTCGGAGGGTCCGTTTTTCTCCATTGGTATGACTCTCCAACTCATGGCTCAGCCTCCTCTGTCCCAAAAGCTCTGTCTAAACATGCCTGAATTTCCATGGAGAAACTTATGCCTCTGGGCCTCTGAGTCTTCTTGCCTGGCATAAGAGAATCCCTCTACTCTATCTCGGATCCGTCCCTGAACCATATAAACGCTTATAAATCTGTCCACTTCCATCCAGTTCATCCCCTGTACCTGCGATAACCTTTCAAAATGACCCACATAATCTCCTACCACGAAAAAGGAAAAGCGGTTGTAAATAATAACAGTCACTCAAACTACTCGAGAAGGGAAAGGGATTCTGATGACTCAAACCTGAAGCCAAGAGTATCGAGAGTAAGAGTCCAAACTCCAAACAACGCCGACCTGATAAGACGACACTCACTCACTCTAATCGGCAGAGTCACAAATCCGGAAGCACAGAGAATGTGGTCACTCATCCCGGTCCTCTCAAATCTGTGGAAAAATGTGCTGAAAACATCAACAAGAGCGACTGGGTCTGACCTAGGACAGGGGCTCTTTCAATTACAATTTTCCTTCGAGGAAGATATCCAAACCATTCTAGACAACAGACCTTACCACTTTGCGCAGTGGATGATCATAATCCAAAGATGGGAGTCCATTTTATCCCCTAGCTTTCCCTCGCAGATACCCTTCTGGATTAAAGTCCAAGGAATCCCTGTGCACTTATGGACCACGGAAATAATCAGAGGTGTGGGCAAAGATCTTGGTCTGCTCGAAACTCTGGACATCTCTCCGTCAGCAGCAAGAATGCGAGTCCAAGTGAATGGACTCCAGCCGCTTATCATGAAATCCCACATCGAGTTCCCTGATGGAAATGAGATTATTGCTACTCTTGTGTATGAAAAGCTGGGAAAATTCTGCAAAGTATGCAACCGGTTAGATCATGAAAAGGAGTCCTGCCCCACCTTGACAAAGACTGAATCAAGATCATCCAAGATAAAGGCCCCTGGTTCTAAAGAATCAATCAAGGATGGAAGATATGAACCTGTTAGAAACAATGACAGAAACGGAAGGAGCTACATGGGACCTTCTAGACCCCGGGAGTCTGATCCAAGGGCCTCAGAGACACTTCAGAATTCGATCCGCAGCAGAAGATCCTCTGAGAGAGGCTCCCCAAGGCGTCAAAACCTGAAAAACAGCACCTATGAACCAATCAGAAACAAATCATACTCAAGGAGCTCATATCGAAACCCAAACGAAAGGAGGGAACCTTACGGACCTGACCCGCGTATCCACCAAAGAGGTTCATCTGCTTCTTCGTATCATTATCATTCTTATGGAAGAGACCACTCAACCAATCAGGGTAGAGAAGTGGCAAGACAAGTATGGAGGGAAAAAGCGAGATCGCCTATAAGACAAATGAACCCTCTATCGGAAAATTCGAGGATCCAGGAAAATAATGAACAGCTGGTGGATATTCCAATCACTCCTATAGAAAACTTACCCCAGCAGGCGATGGAAGAAGCCATCGGGGAACTGAGGGACGTCATGATCAGATATGCTAATTGTGAGGATCCGACTGAAAATGCTGCCAGAAGAGAAAGAGTAAGACTTGCTGAAGAGGCTGGGGAATTTGAGGAGACTGCAGCTAACATGGTGAGATCTGCACTTGCAACTCAAAACCAACAGGATCAGAGTCCACAGTCAGAACAAGACCAACAAGAGAGAATCTCAGTTTCTCAAAGACTGGGACCGACTAATGAAATGGCTGCAGTACCTGCTCCCAGGAAACGGGGAAGACCTCCAGGGGCAAAGAAAGCTCATTTCAGCCCCTCTATCCTTAATGGTGCTTGCTCCAAAAAACGTCGGGTCATGCAAACTCAACAATCACCAAAAAGACGTAAACAAGCTCTGAATATCACTCGCAATGAGGAACAACAACTTATCACAGGGGAAGTTCGAGCAGAGGAATACCTCCAAGTAAAGGAAAGGGATCTCACCATCAAGGGGCTCAGGTGACAATTAATCCGGGAATCACAAAGGAGAGGGTGGATTTTCACGAACTACCCAATCCCGTTTCTTAAGAGTTACGAGCTGGAACTGCCAAGGGTTGGGGAACCCTTGGACAGTTCACAGACTCAAGAAAATCAAGCGCAAGTTTGACTTCCCGGACATTTTATTCCTCATGGAGACAAAAAATCCAGATCCTTTTGTCCTCACAGAGCTTCAACCTTTGGAATACGATAAGCACTTCACAGTTCCACCCATCTCTCCCAGATGCGGCGGACTGGCGTTGTTTTGGAAAAATGAGATCGACCTGCAAGTGACGTTCAGTTGCGAGAACTTCATCGACACCACAATCAAACACAAAGGACAACTTCTATACGCAACATTTGTATATGGCCACCCGGATAAGAAAAAAAGGAAGGATGTATGGCAAAGAATAACAACTACAGCACTAAGTAGAGACTCACCATGGATCCTAACCGGAGATTTTAATGATATGGTGAATAGCTCTGAAAAAGAAGGGGGGCCCCCTAGATCAGAGGAGTCGTTTGTAGAGTTTCGCTCGTTCATGTCTGAAAAATGATCTATATGACATTAAGCATTTTGGAAACTTTTTATCCTGGAGAGGGAATCGAAGTAATCACCATGTAAAATGCAGACTTGACAGATCGGTGGCCAACAGTGCTTGGTTCTGCGCATACCCTCTCGCGAGCGGTGAATACCTGGCCTTCGAAGCGTCGGATCACAGGCCTCTCATCACCAGCTTCGCACCTGTAAAACGTAGAAGAGGAACTTTCAGATACGATAGAAGTCTGCGAAACAACATGGAAGTAAAACAGTTGATTGAGAGAACCTGGCTAGCTCATCCTTCGGCCACAGTAGACCAGCAAATCAGTCAATGCCGAAGAAGCCTCATCAAGTGGAAAAAAGAGCATTACATAAATAGCCAGAAGATCATCACACAAAAGAAAGCGAGTTGGAGACAGCAATGTCAGATCCGGTTTGCAATGACTATCTAATAAACAAGATCAATGATGATCTTCGGCGAGCTTACCAAGCGGAGGAGGAGTTCTGGAGACAATGAAGCCGCCAGCTGTGGCTAAGCCTTGGCGACAAGAATAGTGGATACTTCCATGCTGCTACAAGGGGCAGAAGAGCAAGGAACAACATATCTGTTATAAAAAACAAAGAAGGAGTATCAGTCTACGAGGATGACCAAATTTCAGAAACAATAACAGACTATTTTCACTCCCTGTTCTCGTCTGAGAATGAAAGACGTGAGGAAATTGTTTCGGAAGCCATCCAGACGAGAATCTCTCCTGAAACCAATGAGAAACTAATCAAGATACCAGACGAAGAAGAGATTAGAACAGCCATTTTTGGAATCCACCCGGACAAAGCTCCTGGCCCGGATGGATTCTCAGCGAGTTTCTATCATACTCATTGGGATCTAATGAAAAAGGACATCACCAAAGAGATTCGGAGTTTCTTTACCTCGGGTTTGCTCCCAAAGGACATCAACAACACTCATATCTGTCTCATCCCGAAGATAAGCAACCCGTTATCTGTGGCAGACTACAGACCGATTGCCCTGTGCAACGTTTACTACAAAATCATCTCAAAATTCTGACAGCTCGATTGCAACCAATTCTCCACACGATTATATCCGAAAACCAATCAGCATTTGTCCCTGGTAGGATAATCTCGGACAACATCCTTATCACCTATGAAATCCTGCATTTCTTAAAAACTTCAGAAGCGGAAATCAGAGGAGCTATGGCAGTCAAAACAGATATGACTAAGGCATATGATCGTCTAGAATGGGATTTTATCAACGAAGTTTTAAAGCAAATGGGGTTTCACTCAACATGGATTCAGTGGATTATGCAGTGTGTATCTACGGTGAAATTCTCAGTACTTATAAACGGTTCACCAAAAGGACAAATTATCCCAAGCAGAGAAATAAGGCAAGGTGACCCCCTTTCACCTTACCTTTTTATTATTTGTGGAGAAGTTCTCTCAGGGCTTTGTCTCAATGCAATGAGGAGAAGAACACTTACTGGAATAAGAGTAGCCAGACGGAGCCCCATGATAAACCATCTGCTCTTCGCAGATGATACCATGTTCTTCTGTAAGTCAAGCACAAAGAGCTGCACAGCCTTGGTCAACATCCTACGAAAGTACGAGCAAGCATCATGACAGAAAATCAACTGCCAAAAGTCAGCTATCTCTTTCTCAAGGAAAACATCTCAAGCTGTACGAGCAAGAGCAAAACAAATCTTGGGAATTGAAAATGAAGGAGGCGTAGGCAAATATTTAGGTTTACCTGAGCACTTTGGAAGGAAGAAAAAAGATCTTTTCAGTTCCATTGTGGACCGGATTAGACAGAAAGCCATCGCAAGATCAACGAAAACCCTTTCAAGTGCAGGGAAAATGGTTCTCCTAAAATCGGTTTTGTCCTCGATGCCAACTCATGCGATGTCCTGTTTCAAACTACCTGTTAGTCTCTGTAAAAGAATCCAATCGGTGTTAACAAGATTCTGGTGGGATGCTAATCCAGACACAAAAAAGATGTGTTGGATTGCTTGGGATAAGTTAACAAAAAGTAAATAAGATGGAGGATTGGGGTTCCGAGATATACAAACCTTCAATGATGCGATGCTGGCAAAATTGAGTTGGAGAATTCTTATGAACCCAGAGAGCCTGCTCCACCGTATCCTAAAAGGGAAATACTTCATGGATAAAACCTTTCTTGATGCCCCAAAAACTGATATATCATCGCATGGATGGAAAGGAGTTTTAGTGGGAAGGGACTTACTAAAAGAGAAATTGGGGAAGGCAATCGGAAATGGCAAGACAACAAGTGTATGGGAAGAGAATTGGATATCCACTTCTTCAATCTGCAAGCCCATTGGTCCAGCCCCTGCACATGTCTATAACATGAAAGTATCGGATTTGATTGTGGAGAACACTAAGGAGTGGAACATTGCTAAAATCAGGGAAATCTTACCACAATTTGAAGAGGAGATCATGTGCATCAAAATAAGCCACACCGACGTAGAAGATAAACTCATCTGGACGCCACAATCATCCGGCATCTACACGACCAGATCGGGCTACTACTCCGTAGGAACTACAACGATCACAAGTGCATCCCAACCAAATAACCTCGAGGGTTTTGATTGGAGAAAGGAAATTTGGCATGAAGCCTGCTCTGAGAAGCTTAAACTATTCTTATGGAAGCTAGTGAAAGGGCATTACCGCTGGGAAACAATTTAGTCAAGCGAAAGGTCATCCTGACCTCATCCTGCATCCACTGTGGAGCACCGGAGTCTGAACTTCATATCTTTTTACAATGCCCTTTTGCGATTGATGTCTGGAACCTGATCCCATTTAGCAATACAATCAACATCTCCCAGCTCGTCGATATCAAAGCAGGAATCCGAAGCTTGCGTTCTTTCACATGCCTTCCCCCTACAGGAATCACGAGAGGTCCCCTATATCCTTGGGTCTTATGGAGCATCTGGACATCAAGGAACAAGAGAGTCTTCAATGAGAGGAGTTTTACCCCCTTAGAAACAGTATCAAATATTCTCAAAGGAGCAAGGGAATGGCAACTAGCACAACCAGAGAAAAAAGACTTATCTGGCTTAGTGAGAAGATCATGGAGGCCTTCATTCATGAGAAACTCGATCCGTTGCTTTGTTGATGGATCATGGAATAGTGCATCTCTCACGGCGGGGCTGGGGTGGATCTTCAAGGATGAGATCGGAAACATCCTGACCCAAGGATCGGAAGCACATGCATCGGTGGGATCTCCACTGGTGGCCGAAGCCCTGGCCATGCGAAAGGCTCTCCAAATCGCTTCAGATCTAACCCTGAATCGCCTATGCATGGCCTCAGACTCTGACATACTGGTAAAATGCATCACAATGAAGAGGAGTATGACCGAGATCTATGGCATCCTTCAGGATATCGATAGATTGCAAGCTCACTTTGATGTAATCAGTTTCCAGTTTATTCCTCGTGAAGCCAATTATTTGGCAGATACTCTAGCAAAATCTTGTAACAGGGCCGCTTCAGGGCCACGGACCATTAGTGGGCCGACCTAATTGAATGAAATGCAAACCTTTGACAAAAAAAAAATCAGATTAATTATATTAATATTTATTAATTAAAGAAAACGGATAAACACACGGATCTTTTGACCCGACCCACTAAAAAATACGCGAATCTTTTATACCCAACCCATATAATTCGGATTCTTTTATTTTTATTTTGAAAAGTATTTAATTAATTGCAAATATATTCAAAAATTCAAAATTTTTATTAAATTCAGAATAATCAAATTAATGCAAATCCAAGAAAATTTTAAATACGCGGATCTTTTAGGTTTGACCCATTAAAATTTGAATATTTTTTAAATTTTAAAATTATATATTTGAACAATATATTTTGAAAATATCACGCAAAATATAGATATGCAATCAAAATATTATATTCTGAATTTGGGAATAATGCCCCATGACCCTAAGATTTAGTTAGGTTCCCTTTAAAATAGTTAATGTAACTTACTATAAATCATAACAAAAAAGCTTAATCCTTGGGATTATATTGAAATACTTAAATCAGCATCAAACACGAATTTGTTCTTATAGAAGATTCCCGAAATAATTTATACATTCCTAATTTTCAAAAAGAAAACCTAGCTGCACCCCTTCCTTCACCTATATATTAGAAAACACACAACCTCAATATCATCAAAGCATAACCGACACAAATACCAAAACCCGTAATCTCAAAAATGCTTTCATCTCTCATATTCAAATTTAATAGTTTACTTACATGTTTCAGATGGTTATGTATCGAGCTTGATGAATCCATCCAAAAAATGAATTGCATATTCATGTGAAGGTATTAATAATTTCTCTATAATTTTTTATTAGATCTTCTACTCATTTTTATGCGTTCATCTTCTATGATCAATTTTAAGTTATATCTTTTGCTCATAT